TCCAGGCTCTATACTAATAGGCACGGAGCTCTTTGCGGATAAGCTCTGTTTAGCTTTACCTCCTAAATGTGTAACAGAACCCTGTTCTTCCCCAGTAGGGCACCCCGCGCCTACTGGGCGTCGGCATTTTCCCGTGCCATGCCAGAATTCTGGCTCGGGGTGAAGTGTTGGTTTGTAGTTTGACGCTGTTTAAGCAAAGGGCAATCAGGTCGCAAGTGTTTAGTGCTTCCGCACGTAAAACATCGCCGTACAATGCGTTGCTGCTCAGCAGCTTGACGTTTAACTTCCCTTCATCTTCAGCATAGCTGAGATCCATCGGTTCCGGCCTTTTAAAGGCCGGACCGCTTGTGGAGTTTGCTCTCGCAGAGCTAGGGTTGTACCCATTCCAGCCAAGCCTGGCCGACTTGAAGTTATGCTCAGCATTAAGAGAAATAGTATTATCACGGCCCATTCGAACGTAGAGGGGTGAATTCGAAAAACTTCGGTTCTGGAAATGCCAGTACGAATACCTTCCTTGAAGATAGTCACATGAACTGTCTCGGGCAGAGGGTCAGACTGCATTGCAGTTATGAGAGTTCTCAACTGTTGGACATAGTCCGATAAATTGTTCTTACCCTGACGGGTAGACGAAAAATGTGAACGCACGCGGTAAGCTTAGTAAGATGGTGAGAAGACCTGTACCAGTTGTGACTCTAGCGACTCCCATGTAGGAAACGCTAAGTCAGCCGATGTGCTACAAGTCAAGGCCCATTCTCTAGCTCTACCATCGAGCTTCGAGATAGCCAGCGAGACCTGTTGATGGTCAAGCGTGATCAGGCCTATTCTCATGTCCATCTCAATCTCACGGATCCAGAGGTAAGTTTTTCACCCACCTTACCGGAGTAGTTCTTAAATTTCACTCTAAGTGGACGAGGCCTATCCTCTTTATCGGGCTCAGAAACATAGCGTGTAGGCATAGCCGACGCTTTTTAGTCTTAAACCTGCCCTTCAAGGGTCGCTTCATACTGCATGAAGCCTTCAATACGTGCATTTAGCACCTCAGGGCCCTGTGAGACAAGGAACTCCACGTACTCGCGACCCAAAGATGCGGGCAGCTTATCAAGCGCGACCTTTTGGCCCTCAGAGAGGGAGTGGTGAGGTTTTCCATCCTCACCGAGGATAAATCCAAATAGACTCAGGCGAAGTTTGACTACAAGTGCTACTAAGTGTAGCGGAGCTGAACAGCTCCTCAAGTCAGAGGAAGACTTAACGCTCAACGAGCAAGTTAGTTTTAAAGAACTAGACTCGATGAGTCAACAAGCGTAAAGCTTATGGTCCTTTTTTCAGTGGACTAAACGATTCAATGAATCGGCAGCATTTAGTGATCAAGAGTAACTAGCTACCTCAGGGAGGTGTTGCTAACTCTTAGTAATCAGCGATCAACGACCAAAGACGCCTCGCAAGGCACGTGTCTTTCAGATTAAAAGGGAAACTGAAATTAATATACATTTATACCTATAGAATATCTTAGCCTAATTTAGTGCAACTAAGATCTCTCTTATCTAGTGGCTGGCACCAGTCAGCCCCTATAAACCGATAAGATATTCTATATCTCTTTCAGTGGGATATCATCCGTGTGTCCGAGACACAGGGTACTGAGTACCCAACAACGTGTAAACCTGTTTTATCGCTGCAGTAAAGGATCTCCCTTTGCGTTCGGTTGGCCACTGAGGAGGCAGGATTCCGCAATTAAAGTCCATTACAAATGCTTTTTTATTTTTTCACATATTCCTCAACATTGTCGCTCTTCTGCTCGTCACCGACATTCCTGTTAATTAGCCTCTAAACCTGTTATTAACGCAGGTCTTACTCGATCATTGTAAGGGGTATCCCGTTACATGATATTGACCTCAAATAATGTCAATGGGAATATTGTTTAGCATGACATTATTCTACCAATATTATCCAAGATGGATAATATTAAAGGAATATTATCCCCTAAGTAGGATAATAATCATGCGCTGTTCAAATACTGGTTGATAAAAATTTATCAGCGATAGATTACCACTAGTCGCTGATAGACGCGCGCAATGGGTGGTGAGCAGGTTGTCGTCATACGACAACGTAGTTTAATATTGTAAGGTAAAGATATAGGTTATATTGATAGCTTAACTATATTAAATACAGTTTTCTTACTACCCATTACTCAAACTAGCTGTTTGTGTAGATTAGCTTCCTCTGCACGTACTTGTGTACCTGAAGTCTCGTAGCACCCCAAATAAAGGGCGCCTCGTCACACCTGGTAGCACTTTGAAGTCCGTCCAACGACTACTAAGTGTCCGTCCAACATGAACATGTTGAACGTAAAAGAAGACAGCTTTTACGTCACACGTGAAGGCCACTCCCATCTGAGTGACTCAGAATGGGAGGTAGTCGGCCGTACGAGTGTGCTCATGGACGAACCCGCCATCAGCGGTATGTTAAAGTCTCTAAGCAGAGACCAGCAACATGCTGCTACCAAGAAGTTCCTACAAGGGAACTTGCCGTAGAAAGACATAAGGTATCCTTGCTACAGCAGCAAGGATCTCATCAGTCGATGGGCAGGGCGGCGCACGTGCGTCGGCCCGAAACCTTGAAAATTGACTTTTCAAGGTACAAGGGAACCGATGAAGATTCGCTTTTGAGATGGTTCGTCGAGTTAGACGACGCCATCAGGGCCCGTTACATCGAGGGTGACGAGATACAAGTCACCTCCGCCCTGTCAAATTTGACAGGGCTAGCAAAGACTTGGGTCTTAGGGCTCAAGCTTCACGACCCAAACGTGTTTGCGTCGTTGGAGATCTTATAGGCTTGGCTCAAAGAGACGTTTGAGCCGCCGAGAGCCGACTCTAGAGCACGCGTTGCACTCTTGATACTCAAGCAAGGTAATCGTGATGTGCACGCTTACGCCCAATATACACGCTACCTTGCGAGTAGCGTCACGGAAAATCCTGTTGATGAGCACAGGCTCATCAACGTGTTTATCTACAGCCTTGTAGATGGGCCGGTGAAGACCTACATGTTCCGGGAGGACTTCCATACGCTGGAAAAGGAGATAGCGTATGCGGAACAAGAAGATTTTATCCTGAGACAGTCTCAGGCTAACTTGTCAAACTATCGTCCGACAAGATGACAGGAAACAGGAGGTCTCGAACCGATGGACTTCTTTTACATCGAGAGCGAGAACTCTTTATCTCTGAGTCACAAGCGAACGGCAAGATACCATCGCTGTCACAAGATTGGACACTAAGCACACGAGTGTAGTGTATCAATCACCGCATCGAGTCTTAATACAGGACGTGATGACCGCCGCTGACCTAAGAAAGTTGCGAGGCGCGGGTCCGACCATGTTGCTAAGCCACGACAACAAGTCGGGGTGCCAAAAAACGGTCAGGGTCAGTAGTGGCGGAGCACCGTGCTGAATCAGCAACGTCAAGAGCATTTGCAGTACTCTTGACGAAGATTGCTCCCAACACACATTCACTGTGCGCTACTGCCTCTAGTGATGAGGGATACCTCATCACTTCGAAGATATAAGTGACAAGTGGAATGTCACTTCGCGCCCCAGTTGACTGTGGAGCATCAAACAGTTTTATTCAACGTCAGTCGCTAGAGGATAGTAGACTCAACTAGAAACGTGTATTGGGAATCCTCTACACGCTAGAAGGAAAGCAGTACGATGATGACTTTATCGTACTAGAAATGGATGAAAAATTTGATGTCAGCCTCGTTATGCCATGGCTTAGAAATTACCATCTATGGATCAGCTGGCAACATCGATCCGTGAAGATGCCTGCCGTTTGTTCATAAGATGGCCATCTGGTGAACGTCTTGGAGCGTCCACAAGCGTGTGGATGTACTACGAGTGAGTGCGACGGCCTCACTTGTGGTACGATCGTTAGTGCGACTGCACAAGATCACAGTGTAGAAGGCCACTACACTGTGGAACCAGCTTTCAGCACCTGTGTAGAGAAACAGGCTGCGCCGAAGGTACACCACTCGAATAGATCGAGTGTACTGGAATCAGGATGCACACCAATAAGGGTGCGTCCGAGAAGAGAGATAAGTGTTGTTCGAGATGAACAACACGTTGAAGCCCGATCGACTAACAGATAGTCGATCGAAGAGGAGGTGAGTGTGGTAGTACACCTACAGTCAACACACGTATTGAAAGAAAGTTCCAACGTTCCTGAGAGTGATAACTCCCGAGAGAATTTTGTTGAGGGGTGTGGATCCCCAAACACCTGCGGATAGGTTTTCCCAGGAAACCACCGAGACAGTGGATGTCTTGGTGAATGAAGGGTCAAGTGTAGGCGCTTATACGCGTGATCTGGTTACACCTCCGAAGTCAGCTTCGGATGTAATCAATCAAGTTGCCAGCGCTAGAATCCAAAGATTCTTGCGAGATCTGCGTAGTGACAAGATCAAGCAGATCTGCGTACTCGTCACAGAGGACGAATACGTCGCCAATATTCGGTCGGCAAAAGTGTTTGCTAAAAACGAAAGGGTTCTCAGTAGCTCATATATGGACGAGAGTGTCCTCGATGAGAATACCCGTATTGAGCAATACACGTTTCAATCTTGGGAGGCTTTGAAGACAGATCCTTTGTATAAGGATTTGGTCGAATTGAGGGATGTTTTCCCTGAATCCTTGCCATGCGAGCTGCCAGAGGATAAAGGCACTCAGCATGAGATCGTACTGAAACCCGGTTCGAAGTACTGTGTTATGAAGCAGTGGCCACTGCCTCGTAAACAGGTCACAGCGATCGGCAAAAATTTGCCGATCGCTTAGCGTCTGGTCATGTGAAGGCATCAACATCCCACACAGCTCTCCGACCTTCTGTGTGCCACAGGCCACAGGAAGGTGGCGGATAGTGCATGCGTTCAACAAAGTGAACGCTGCAACGGTACTGGCTCAAACGCCGATACAGAGGAAGGACGTCATCATAGATGGTATGACAAAAAGTACCATCTTTTCGTCCATGGATCTGATGGATGGATTCTATCAGATCCTCATGCGTGAACGGGACATCCCGTACACAGCAGTGAGCACCCTTAGTGGTATGCTCTGGGAGTGGCTAGTGATGCCACAGGGGCTAAGTAGCGCCCCTGCAACGTTCAACAGATGTGTTACGAATATGTTGCGACCGGTGCGCGACTTCGCACCGAATTGCTTCGATGATGTCTTTGTCCATAGCCTGGCTATGGATGGAAAGACGGACGTGGAGGTATATGGAATCCACGTCCGGAAGGTTCTTACACTTATGCGGGAGCATAAGTTGTTTGCGAACCTCAAGAAGTGTATCTTCGCAGCGAACGAGATACCACTTCTTGGCTGCATCGGGGGTAAAAACGGTGTACGCCCTGATCCAGAAAAGATCAAGGCGATTAGCGACTGGCCTGTTCGAGTCGACGTCAAGGAACTTCGAAAATTCCTTGTGCTAGCGGCGTATTTGCATAAGTATTCACGCAATTACGCCGAGATGACTGTACACCTCTCTCGTTTGTTGAAAAAGAACGAGAGGTGGTTATGGAACGCTGAATGTCAGCACTCCTTTGATGGTATCAAGCAGAGATTGATACAATCGCCTGTGCTGGCGATTGTGGACCAGTACAGACCATTTCATGTGGTCTGTCACGCAAGCGATTTTGCAATCGGCTGTGCGTTAATGCAGTACGACTCAGACGGAGTCGAGCGCTTCGTCTGTTATCAATCACGTCATCTGCAAGCAGCTGAGCGTAATTATCCAGTGCATAACAAGGAGATCCTTGCCATGAAATATGCTCTGGCCAAGTTCCGGGTATATCTCTCAGGAGATAGGCCTTTTATCGTTTATACCGACCATGCGTCATTACGCACGGCCGTAAACAGTCCACACCTCTCGCAACGAATGGCAAGGTGGCTGTATTCTTCGTGGAGTACAACTTCTCCGTCGAGTATATACCAGGACGACTTAATGTCGTCGCTGATGCTCTTTCACGTTGGCCGGATATCGAGCCGATTGCTCCACCCAACAGTAGGGGTGATCCCACTGTTGCTGCACTATCATTGAGTGTTCCGTCGTCGATTCTGCTCGACGATGTGCGAAAAGCATACTTGGAAGATAAGTCTCTTCTGCGTTTGATGGATTACGTGTCTAATCCATGCAGTCAAGCATTGAAAAGCTTGACGTCTCAATACCTCTCTTCAACCGAACGGTATTCGGTTCGTGATGGACTGCTGTACCATACATCAGTCAACCGATACACACCTCGTGTCGTCGTTCCCGCTAGTGATGATTTGCGATTACGCATCATGTATGAGTGTCACGATGCCCCGATTAGTGGGCATCGCGGTAGGAAAAAGACTTACCTCACGGTAAGTCGTGACTTTACTGGCCCCGCCAGTATGAGTTTGTGCGCAAGTAGATTCTCGCTTGCGACTTTTGTCAACGATTGAAGCCTAGTCCTTCATACCGCGCACACTTGCAGTCTCTGAAGATTCCGGCAGATTGATGGCAGTTCGCATCGATGGACTTCGTCTTTGGGTTTCCTAAAGACGCTTACAAGAATACTGGTATTCTTGTGTTTGTTGATCGGTTCAACAAGATGGTACATGTTGTTGCTGTACTGGAGTCAATCACAGCCCAAGGCTGTGCGCGTGTCTTCATCGATACGATCTTTCGACTTTATGGGTTTCTTCGTGAACTCGTGTTTGATAGGGACCCCTGTTTCACAGCGGAGTTCTGGCAATCCGCGTTCCGTTCACTTAGAACACGTTTAAAGATGTCAAGCAGTGACCATTTAGAAACAGATGGCCAGACGGAGCGCGTCAACCGCGTCTTCGAAGAGATACTACGAGGGTATGTCCGCTCGTTCACGAGCTAGAGTGAGCTCTTGCCGATAACAGAAATTCGCCATTAACAACTCGGTGCATGCGTCGACAATGCATACACAGTTCTTCGTGAATGTCCTACAATATCCATGTTTACCCGCCTTTTTGGAGTGAAACAAGAGCTTAAGGGGGGGGCTCGCGCAAACAAAACCGATCTTATTATTGCTCATCACACGTCGACAATGGTGTCGACGTGATGGATGCCGGTGTCGATGCGATCGACATCGATGATGATGACGACGATGCTGGCATATTCAGCATCGCCAACGACTGCCACAGTGAGGACGATTAATAGATATTGATCAATCAAGCTTATCCGCCAACGTGTCGCAGCGTTATGAAAATGTGAAATTATACTTTAACATAATTTTTTAAGAGATGCCATCGACGATTACAACCCACACAATTTCATGATCGATATCTTTCTTGCGTGTATTCATCCATCGGCAATGGATATAATATAAGACTGGTTATAGTTTTGGTATCGATGACATGATTTAAAGTCATGCTCATTAATTTTCATTTGCTAATCTTAGACACTGTAACGACGCAAGCACTTGCCCAAAATATACAAAATGACACACTTATTTTGTTGCTAGTGGCAATCCTGCTACGGCAGCAGTGTGCGCATGGAATATAATGGCGGCTAATTTTAATATAAATTGAGGGTAGATACCGTGTTGCATTGCTATTATATAGAAATGAAACACGGTGTCATGACTCCCTCACTGGTGATGACAACGTTCTTTCAGCAGTGCACACAAAGCGCACTGCTGTTAAACAAGGAGGAATCAGAAGAGGAATTTCTACTGACTCGCGAAGCGGTCGTCCGCTTCGTTCAAGACTCTATTTCAGATGAAATGGATAGACGGAAAAATAATGCAGAAAAACATGGAAGATAGATTTATGCCGCGCGGTCCTTCAGATCACCCTGGGGTGAACTGCGAGTACTCTGACTCAGTTTGAACTCCTTACAGGACCCGCACCCCTCATTACACTATGGGGCTTTTCGGCTTGTAGGGCCTCCGGACGGCACCGGCCACCCATTGGAGGTTGCTCGTCTACAGTTTTAGCCTATCTCCGGCGCCCTGTAATCGAACCCCCTCCGGGTATCGATCCAGGTACCTCCCGGTCCCAGTTCCAGTGGTCTACCACTCGGCCACTGGGGTCGGTGGACAAACATGGAAGAGCAAACGCTCTATCATTTAACGAAGGGAATTTAGTTTTACTATTTACATTAAATAGATCGAAACACGCAGTGACAAACGTGGGTAGCAGTAAATTCTGCACAGGTATATCGGTCCATTTCGTGTGTTGCGCCGAATGGGCAACGCATACACGATTGAACTGCTGTAGCGGACTACACAGCCCTTTAAGTCAGGGGAAGACTTATTTAACAAGCCAACGGCTTACATTTGACATCCTAATAGTTCTACGGAGATAATTTTTCAAGTTAACGAGTCACCCAGCTCTACGGAATTGGGGTGGACTCTATGAGCTAACAGCTCAGACTACTGCAGTTCTAAGGAACTACACGCACAATGTGCGAAATAGAATACCGGAGTCTAAGGACTCGTTAGCCCACGACAGTTCTAAGGAACTGTCAAACGCAAGCTGCGAAAGGGGGGGGAGTCTATGGACTTCTGCTCAAAATGAGAACTGAACTTTATTTAGATTTTATATCAAGGAAAATCCTACTTCAAGTACCCTGTATTCGTCTAAACTAGAACTAATACAAATACTAGTATTCGAACTAAATGAATGGCTGGCAAATCACTCCGTCATCAAATGATGACGATACAAAGTACGTACACGGTAAGTACTGTAAACCTGGGGATATCGGTCAATCGATATTCGCTTGCTGATATAAAATCTAAGGTCACACACATTCATCCATATCATTATGGGCGGTCTTTGACCAATTTAGCCAATGGCTAGTGTGAATCCGTTACACCCTCCCCCACCAGACTGACGTTACCACAAACGTTAATCGACTCATTCTCCCATTAAGACTTGTTACAAAGAACGCACTTACATGGACCGATCTGGACACCTCCTGGAAGATAAGGCTCTAGCCGAATCCTTGGTGTCGAGGACGTGGACTATGACATTGTTAGTGATACCAAAGTCGAGGGGGGGCAATCCATACCCAGCACACCTGTGCGTGGGGGACATACCCCGTCCGGCACCTAATCCGTTCCCCAAACTTAGTGCCGCGACTGCGCCAACAGCGCTGGGAGCAATGTCCCACATGGATACATCCATTATTACTAACCCGCTTGATGAGGAGCAACAACGCATGCTCGATCAAGCGGCAAGCACACGGCGCAAGTCAAAAGTTTCGACAAAGTTGCAACAACACAGTGAATATACGTTCACTCCACCTGGTTGAGAAGAACTAATTCGTCAAGCGTCACGCCATACTTTGGCAACATGGGCCACTGGCCCCGAGGCAAAAACGTCCACTAAATTCAATTGTCGCAAGGCTCTTCGAGAGAGGTACTTGGAACCTTCTGTAATGAATTTAAGTCAATACAGAGAACGGGTGCAAAAGAAGGCCCAAGGAACACCAGTTCCACAAATTAGGGGTATATTATGTCCGAAGATGGAGACGAAACTGCGGAGGACAATATATGTTCATTTGCTGGCTGCATGGCGTTCGACGCCTCAGTAACATGCACGCGCTACGCGTAAGTGCCAGTGTGGCAGACGTTAGTCTAGAGCGAAAGCTTCGCTATGAATTTGCGCAGTTAAAGGCCAGAGGCCGTCTGCGGGGAGTATCACGCTCCCACCATGCTTTGGCTGCCTCTGCAGCCGCGAGTTCACGTCAGTCTTTTGACACGAACTCGCCCGCTCTCACTACGACGAGTGAGAAGCGTGGCTCTCGTCAAGACGAACTCGTCCGTGGCGCTCAAAACCGTCAACGTCGTATGGGCATTCTTGCCGAAGGGGAAACTCATACTCCCATGAGTTTTCAGACTCAGGGTACCCACGCTACTTCACTAGATATTGGTAGTGACCATGAAGACGACGTCGTTGAAGTACCCGCTCCACGTGGAACTGTACGTATCCCTTGCTTATCCAGCAACGCCGGTAGCGGTCAGAGTATCGGCTTAAAGCCATGCTAAGTTGGTGAAGAAAGTGGAGGATCTCCGTGAGACTTGGGTCAGACTCAGAACGCCCTGAGCGAAGCCCGATCTCGTCTGGCGACGTTGAAAGGCGATTTCGCCCGTCTTCAGATAATGGAGTCACGTGAGACACGTGTCGAGGCTCAACTTTATCTCTTAATTCGGATGTAACATCCTGTGGCAACGTCAATGTACGTGGCGTAAGCGCATTCAAATCAACATGGACGGGTCCCGGTATGGCTTAAGTAGGCCGACATAAAAGACGGGATGCGTACGCAGTTTGCGCGGCAAGTTAGTATATACGCAAGGCCCTTCTTGGCCACGACCGTAAAAGGTACAATGAAGCGCGGACGCAACTTCGCTTCAAAAACAGCTGACACTACATTTGTAGGTTTATTTTCAGTGTTTAGCAAGACTTGGTCTCCAACCTCATAACTTTCAATACAATTTCAGCCTTTGGCATCTGCTTATTCCTTTTGTTTATCATGGCTATCAGCCATTGCATCTCTCACATGTCGTAAGACATTTAACCTTGTTGCAAGGAACTCATTAACCTTTTCTGAACAGCGGCAGGGCTGACATCAGCAAGCCGATCGGCAATCCCTCCCCCACCAAGCCCGGAACCATGAAGTGGTAGCGTCAATATGACGCGCGGATGGGTGAGGCCGTTCAATAGAACGAGGTATAGCCAGTCGAGGCATGAACCGAATTGTTTATGGCAAATTTTACCACCGGAAGCATGGAGCTCCGACGCCGAGGCGTATCTGCGCAAACGCTGCGCAAAATGTTACCAATGACACGATTAACGCGTTCAGTTGACCATCGGTCTGCGGATCATCCGCGGTGGACATACCAAATCTGGTGCCGAGCACCTTAAAAAATGGACTTCCAAAACTTTCCCGTAAAGCGAGGATCGCGATCGGAAACATTTGTTAAAGTCAAACTGTGTTGACGAAGCACGCGATTGATAAACAGCTGTGCTGTACGTTCACCATCAATCGAAGCTGGCACAGCCGCTAAATGACTCATCTTTCTCAAACGGTCAACAAAGACCACAATACCAGTGTTGCCGTTCAAATCCGTTGGCAAACCAAACACAAAGTCTATACTGATAGATTCCCAACAACCCGTGGGTATAGGCAAACCCGCCAAAGGTGCAGCCGCATGAGCGGAGGGTTTGACTCGTTGACACGTTTCACACATACGCACATATGTGCTCACTCATTTATATAATTTAGGCCATTAATAGTGTTAGCCGACCTAGCCGTAGGTCTTCTCTCGACCGAGATGAATGCTTAAAGCTGTATCATGCGCCTCAAAGAAAATACGATACTTCAATTTCTCATCATGGGGTACGTCGATGCGCAGATAATCCGTCGCATCCGTGCTATAGCACAAGAGGCCATGGTCGAAAGAATATCGATGCAGCCCTGCACGCGAGCGTGCCGACAATTTAATGTCTGAGTCTTTAAACTCATCACAACCGAGTGCGCGTAACAACGCGACACACTGATCATCCTTGGCATAAGCCATTTGAATTAAATCAGGGATACAAGACGACAGAGTAACGTGAGCGTGAGCACGCTCATAATTCGATTGCGTGATAACGCATCGGCCAAAGCATTTTGCTTCCCTGGTTTATACTTCACCTCGAAGTTGTACTCAGCAAAGAATGAAAGCCATCGGGCAATACGTTGCGAGAGATGATGCTACCGGGTCGCAGTGCGCAACGACGCATGATCCGTTTGGATTACAAACGGCTTGGAGCCAAGTAAATGTACTCGGAGCTTGATAAAAGCATACTTCATTGCAAGGAACTCCATTAATGAACTGGATAGTTCTTTTCAGCAGCTTTTAGCTGGCGAGACTCATACGCAATGACGCGTTCATGTCCATAGACATCAGTTTGCAACAATGCACTGCCAATGGCAAAATCAGATGCGTCGCAGACGATAGTGAAAGGTCGCTTTGGGTCAGTCGAATTCAAAATTGTAGTACGAAGGAGACTCTTCTTAATAGCTTAAAAAAGCTTGTTCCTAAACCAAGTTCCAACACCAAACCGCGTCCTATTATGGAGGTTGGTTAATGGTCTTGCCATGTCAGCATAGTTTACACTATACTTGTGTAAGTAATTGGCTAGACCAAGCCATTAACGCAACCTTTTTAGGTTAGACAGAATCGGCCAATCCACAATGAGTTTTACCTTAGCGGGATCTGCCCGTAGGCCGCGCTTTTTAATTAAGCACCCTGGAAAAGAGATTTCTTCAGCACCAAAAATGCATTTAGATGCATTTGCATATAACTTATGGTGCGCATGCACCCGAGCACTGCTCGTGAATGATTAATGTGATTTTTCACGTCTGACCTTCCTTGTTTTGCACGGCTATGGACAGAAATGTCATCAAAATAGCTTTTTTCATACACTTTATGAGGGCGAAAAAACTGCGTCACGAGACGATTATAGGTTGCGGGGGCATTAGAAAGTTCCTGAGGCATAACAAGCCACTCCCAAAGCATGCCCTCGGCGTGCTAACCGCTGTGAGCGGGATATCACTCGCTCGCATGAGCAGTTGGTAATAACTATTGACTAAGTCGAGTGCGCTAATTATGGTGCAGCCCACCAAAGCGTTCTGAAGGACATCCTTTCTAGAAATAGGTGTCTGCGCAGGTACAGTGGCTGCGTTGAGCTTATTGTAAGCGTGCACAATACGCCACTTACCATTAAGCTTTCTGACCCAAAATGTCGAGGCGAGTGTGGAGATTTTCTCTCCTGCACCATGCTTGCCGCGTGCTTTGCACGAAAGAGCTCGTCAATGACGTCACACTGCTCCTTATATAATGGCCATTGCCGTGTGACACAGTATTTGGTCCCAGGGACCAGGTCAATTTCATGACGCACACCTCTGTCGGGAGGTAGAGTGGATGGTGGATCATGACACACCACGTCCTGAAATTCCTTTAAACAAGGATAGAAGGGATCCGAAGAATCCTTCAAATGGCAGATCCACTGCGAGCACTGAGTGCAACTTTAATGTCCTCAAGGACTGTCTCATCTACAAGGGATGACGAGTTCAACTCAAGATCAGGTTTTAAGGACCACCATATCGGACAAAGCACCGGCCTTTTTAGGCTTGATGAAATTTGTATACAGACATATCGTCTAGCTCTAGCAGAGCGTTAATCGATGGGAGGGCCTCGAGGACAACTTCTCCATCAATCGCACCCGACACCCGATTGACTAACGTGTTTAACTGTTCACTAGTGTCCTTCTAAATAATGGCAAAAACCCTTCTTTTCACAGCCGCCATGTGGCGTCGCTGTCGTCTCTGTGCAGTGACTGAACAACTTAACTTGAAAGGGACACCCGGTTCCGCGAGGTGAAAATTATCTTCAACCTCGAACTGCTCTCTCATAGATTCAATGTCATTACCGAAATTAAGTGTGGTGCCCTCACGGCCGACCTCACTCTGTGGACAGTTATCCACTGTATTCGCATCTGTTAATCAAAGCCCTTGATGACTTGGCGAATCTCCAACAATGTCATGACCGACATCTAGTGGGGTTCCATCACGGCCGACCTCACTCTGTGGATATTTACGTGCCACTCCACGCGCATCACAGGGTTCACACCCAGGATGACTCGACTTTAAGCCATCAATGCTTCCAGCATTTAGTGTTTCACTGTCATTACTAGTGTCACTCAACGGATTACGATCCCTTTCACTATTGTCAATGACATCAAAGCTAACTAGCTCAGACATTCTAATGTCCAGCACATTAACATCTTCTGCCAAAGGCTCGCGCCAGTAATTATTCTGTTGCCCATCAAAGGTGGGTTGATGAATCTCCAAAACTTCACTACGGACATTGGGCGTGGCGCCTAAGGTCTTATACCTCCAATCAATCCATGGCTCATGGCGTTCAGGCCAAGCCATAGCAAGGATGAGATCATATCTCGAGTCCGAATCAAGGACAAGACAGCGTTCAATGCTGTCAAAGTCTAAAAACGGTATACCCAAGCTCAATAGAACTTCAGGCACAGTAACACGACTTCAGTTGCTAAACTAACAGGGATAGAATCACCCTCATGCGCTGTAAGCGCCTCAGCATAACGCTGACTTCCCTCAAGAACAACGTCGAGCATAATTGCAAGACGCCCAGAGTCGATCAATACCGACTAAGGCCTCTCAAACCCCTTATTTTCGCATCGGTGACTATCGAGCTAGAATTGTATCCAGGCTCTATACTAATAGGCACGGAGCTCTTTGGGGATAAGCTCTGTTTAGCTTTACCTCCTAAATGTGTAACAGAACCCTGTTCTTCCCCAGTAGGGCGCCCCGCACCTACTGGAAGCTGCCGTTTTCCCGCTCCGTACCAACTTTCGGGTTAAGAGGCGGATTGCGGCTCGGCCGACTGTGACGTGGCTTCCACATTGGGCACTGCGGGCGCAAGTACTTGGTGCTCCCGCACATGTTACATCTACGGATACTACGTTGATGTTCACCAGCCAGAAGATCTCTATCTTCTTCTTCATCATGGCTGAGGTCTGTGGGCTCAGCCCCGTCGAATGATCTTTGGGTATGCCCATGATGGCCATAGCGAGCGGCTTAAAAGTTGAAATCAGCATTCTACTCTATGTCTACGGCCCCTTCAAACGTTGAGGGGTGGGCGCGGAAGACTTCTGTCCTCGCGATCCCCGTACGAAGGCCTTCCATAAATTGGTGACACGGGCTTGCTCTGGAAGAGGGTTCAGCTGCATAGCAGCTATGAGAGTTTGCAACCCTTGGACAAAGTCCGATAATTCTTTCTTTCCTTGCCTGGCGGCTAGGAATCGAGAGCGAACACGATACGCTTGATTCGGTGGCGCGAACCCTCGAGACATCTCTTGTTTAAGCGAATCCCATGTGAGAAACGCAGCGCTAACCGACGTATTACAGGTAAGAGCCCATTCTTTGGCTCTGCCACCGAGCTTAGGAATGGCTGGGCCAACTTTATGTCGC